TTTTTTTTTATTGTGTTACAGCTTCCAGACATCTTGGTTCACATCATTCTGTGGTGCAAAGAAATCGAAGCGTTAACCTCTGCATTCAGGACATTTAAACAGGTTTTTCCACTTGTGTTTGAAATAATTTAATTAATTTAAAAGAAGGCAAGGGTCGTTAATCATGTTTTACAGTTATTAAAAAGTATAGAGTCCCTTTTAGATAATACCTGTTTGTTCAAGTGGTGTTTAAGGAGAAATATTTGGAAATATCCTGAATGCACACCCTGTCACTAGCAACCACAAAGCACTCAGTTTAATTTTAAGGCACAAAGCATGGGATACTATCTGAGCTGGAACTAAGATGCAAGCATGCTTTATTCTCTATGGAAATTCTTGCAGAGTGCATGGTGTTATTAAGGAGAAACTATAAACTATAATGTTATTTTAAAAAAACTATAATGTTCACATCATATGTAAAGTACTTCATTTTCCTTTGCTAATAAAGAAATAATTGCAATATATTTACAACAGCTATATCGACAAAGCCCAGAAAGGTCTTTACTAAAAGAAAAACAATCATCCTGATTTGTGAAAAACATTTTACACACAAGTCACAGAAATATATAACAGATATAGTCATTTTTAACTGCCGTGTAAATGTCGTATTTCGATTTCCCCCTTGATTTCTGTTTGGCCATGACCCTCCTGTAGAATAATCATAGATCAATACACGTACCATTTTCAATAAAACAAGGACTTCGGAGACTTAGTAGCTTATCTGTAGGGGGAATCAGAAACAGGACATTCAAAGCAGCACATGTCCCCAACAGCAGGCAATGTATCTGCCAGGAATTTAAGAGTAGTAGTTCAGTGCTGTGCCACACGACGATCTGCAAGTCCTTACAGGAGGTATATACACATAAAACATACAGTACACAATGTAAAAAAATACATAAAACAAAGTTCTAAAAATGACTATATTAAGGAAAAAAGAAATTATCGAATTTTTTCCCCAAAACCTTCAGTAAGTTAGGATAAGATACACTATTATTACATTAATAAGTAACTTATCCAAGTCAGTCTTGGGCATCCAAAAGGTATTCCCAATGACTGTTCAAAAAGGATTTTTTTTGCTGTGGGAATGAACACTTTAACTTTTTTTTGTTGTTGTTACCTCCTTTTATATAAAGTACGTTTATAGCAAGTAAAATCCTTCAGTTTGTAGCCAGCAGAGAGGGAAAAACCCGTGTCTCATCTTCAAGAACTGCTGCCGGCAACCAGCGAAGACCGGTGTAAATCTCTTAGCGTCCACTAGGGGGAGCCGTGGGTTTTGTCGATTCTCTTCAGAAGAACACCAGCATTACGTGTCCAATTCAGGAAAGTAATCCAACCTCCAGAACTCGACGCAGTAATAAAACAATGAGGCAGGTAGATCTATCTGCCAAGAAAGCAACACCTGGCAGATAATAAAGACTAAACTATATAATATTGTGCGGGGCCGACCTGTGAAGGCAGAAGGCAAGGGTGCCCACCTGAACCCCCGTTGCGTCACAATATGAAAAAAAAAAAAGGGCCGAAAAAAAAAGTTGAAAAAAAAAACAGTATAAAGCTGCTATTTAAAAGACTTCGATGTGTCATGCAGGCTTGTTTCATATCACTACGCTTCTCCCACTGCGAGAACTCCTCTCCTGGAAAAAAAGAAAGAACAGTTAGCATCTGTTCTTGGACCGCCTGTTTCATTCTCGCCCTTTCCAGAGCTTTCGAATCAACACATTGTATTGTATACACAATTTATGTGAGGATTCATCATTCATTAGTAAAACTCTTTATATAATAAAGAAATAAATTCAAAAGGAAATTAGGAAAGTGGTGTTAATTCTCATATTTGTCAGGGAGAAGGTTTTTACTGTACCTGACAAAAGCCCAAAAGCATAGCGCGCACTTCTGTCTGCAGATGAACACACTCGTAATACTCCACAAACTACAAACCTGCTTGTGTTTGCAAGTCTGCTCTAATGAATATGACTATACTGTCTATAATCCATAAAATTGCACTATTTCACATTCAGAGCACTATGGTATTGTGGTTTACTAAGTCCTGCTTCACGCATAATAACCACTACACAAGCAACTACGTCTGCCCTATTTCTCCTGCAGTGCCTGAGCGTGTTTGATGCCGACACGGTGCGGTACCACTCACACCATACGTACAACGGGGAAAAAATGATGTTCCTTCGCTGGCATTATTAACCAAAAAGGTGAGGTTCGTCAAGTTTCTGAACATTATAGAAAAATCTGGTTCCACGCAAGACGCCTCCATTAAATATAATATAGAATCAAACTCTGATGTTCCAGTTTAATTCATGATTGATCTGAAATGAGCTATGCGATGCGTTGATTTCCTCTCATTACCTTTCTCACTGTTACTTATTCCAAACAGAATATATTACATGCTTTGGGCTGGGTGTGCTTTCAATCGAATATTTCGATTTAGAAATAAAAGCTTCACTTTCAGGATATTCCTCGGGTTCCAAGTGTCACAGTTCACTCTCCCTTCCCAACACGACGGAACAAAACGTCCCTGAACCAAACTCCCGCTCGGAGTAAAGCGAACCGCTCCGTCGGGCGGGCGGCGGACGAGCGCAGGCGCCTGCCGGCGGACTCACGGAGAAGCGGTCGTTGTTCGGCGGGCCGCCGTTCCGGGTCCTCCCGGGCTGAAACTCGATGGAGGTGTAGCTGGGTGGCTTCTCCGGCCAGAGACCCGCGCCCTTCCCCCGGCTGCGGGCGCCCCTCCTGCTGCCCCCGTCCTCCGAGCTCCAGGAGCCGCGGCGGGCCGGCGGGGAGTGGCTCCTCTCCCGGCGCAGGGGCCGCCGCGGCGGCTCCATCAGGTCGTCCCGGCTGCGGGTCCTCAGGCCGCTCCCGCGATGCCGGCTGCCCCCGCCGGGCCTGCGCCGCTCGTCGAGGTCCGACTCGTCGCTGTAGCTCCTCGAGGCCCCGCGCCGGGGAGGGGAGTCGTCCCGCCTGCGCCACGGCTTCCTCGAGGCCCCTGGGCGGAACTGCCCGCGGCCCGCGGCGGCCGAGCTACCGCTGGACCTTCCCGAGTAGCGGCCCCTCGACCCCGGCCCCAGGGGGGTCCTTCGGGAGGAGTCCGAGCTGGACATCCTTCCCACGAGGGGGGGGGGCAGCTGGATGACCCGCCGGTCCAGCTCCCGCACCCCCTGTTCGTTGAGGGAAGAGAGCATGCTGGGAGGGCCCTGCATGTAGACCATGGGCTGGGGCATGAACTGGGGGGGCGGCTGCGGCTGCTGCTGCAGAGGCATTATGGGAGTGCCTCTCTCCATGCCCCTCACCTGGTTCTCGATGTAATCCAGGACGGGGTTGGGACCGCCCACAGGATGGAGGGGTTGAGGAAGAGGAGGAGGCATGGCGTTCAGAGGAATGTTCTGCTTTTGGCCGTAATCTGAAAGCAAGAAAGCGCCGCGTCTTTGTTACCAACAGACAGCCGAAAGGCATCTCCTTTGACAGGCCACCTGGCTCTGCGGCGTGCCAGCGACATCACCAGCCCATCAAACCTAGCCAGCGTGTCTTCGGCAGCTGGGAAGAACACCCCAGTGGTATTACTGAGGCAAACAAAAGATCTATACCATCCTGAACTTGGAGAATGCAGGATTTATAGCTGAGGCGCGGTAGCTCTGTGGCTAAAGATCTGCGCCTGTGGCTGGGAGGTTGCCGGTTCATATCCCGCGGCCGGTAGAGGAATCCTACTCTGTTGGGCCCCTGAGCAAGGCCCTCTACCCCAACTGCTCCAGGGGCACTGTATAAATGGCTGACCCTGCGCTCTGACCCCCAGCTTCTCTCCCTGTCTGTGTCTCATGGAGAGCAAGCTGGGGTATGCGAAAAGACAAAATCTTAATACAAGAAATTGTATATGGGCAATAAAGTGATCTTTAAAAACAATCTTAAAGCAGAAAAAAAGAAGGACTGGATCGCACTGCTTCATCATCTCAAGAGACTGTCATACTAGCTAACCATGGGAGCTGGGGCTTCAGAGGAGGAAGAGCTCAAGTCAAGTAAGTAGGTTCTTGACTTTGATTAGGTGAACGCTTAGTCCAGGGCTCTCTGGCTGAAAGGCTAGCACTTAACTGAGCAAAAAGCAGATACGTGTGGGAAGACGGCTGCTCGTTTCCTACCTGTGTAGAGCAGGGGTTGTAAGTTCGAAGACGTGTTGGAGCCAAGCGGCGCATAAACAGGCTGCCCGTACCCCCACTGCGACATGGCTTTCTGGGCGTCCTTCACCATCCTGTAGCGCATCACCGCTGAAAGGAGCACAAGAGCATGAGGCACTGGGAAGAGCTGAGGCCAAGTCTGGCCAAGGAGTCCATCACACTTCCAGGCCGATCTGAACCACAAGGTGGCAGTATTGGCTTGCCATGCAAAAAAAAAATGCAGCTATTTAAAATCGCCTGACACTTTCAATTTCTATATAGAGCCTTTCAGCCCAAAGCACTCTCAAGCCACGTTGCATAAATCGTAGATATAAAACATGAACACTACACTGAAAAAACAACCAAATACAAAAAGATGTATAAATGCGAAATTAGGTTAATAACTGAAGGACATCAAAAACAGGTTTTGAGAGGAGATTTAAAAACAACAGCAGAAAGTGTGTTTTAAATATGGTCAGGCGGTGTGCTCCAAATCCGAGAGGCTACCGTTGAAAAAGGCTCGGCCCCCCTTACGTACAAGGATAAATATTTTCAGCCACACAATCTGGGTTACACATTGGCAAGCCCATGTGTAACCGTATCAAAGCGGAGCGTAGTACATTACAAATGGCCTTGGACGTTTAGCCACGACTGGTTGCAAAAGCATTTCAGTGGCCCAGCACAGATGACCTTATCCAAGAGGGCCATGACTGGTCCTTAAAGCATTTCAGCGGTCGCATACAGAAGCCGGCCTGCGCGGCTCTGCGCGGCTCTGCGCGGCTCTGCGCGGCTCTGCGCGGCTCTGCGCGGCTCTGCGCGGCTCTGCGCGGCTCTGCGCTCGTACCTTTCTCCGGACAGCAGCACTTGGTGGGGCAGCAGGGGCAGCGCACGTAGCAGCAGCAGCGGTGGGGGCAGCACTGGCACCAGCAGACGCAGAAGAGCAGCACCAGCAGCAGGAAGCCGATGATGATGAACAGCACGACCAGCCAGCCTGTCGGACAAGACCACAACGCACCCCTGAGAGCTGCGGCAGAGCCCGGCGTCCGGCTCTGGTCACTGTGCTACCAGCAGGGAAGTCCTGCCCCGACAGGCAGATCATTTTAGTTTCGAGTAGAACCGATTCCAGCCTTCAAGACCCTCAGTGGTTTTGACAAACTCAACTCAAGGAACGTCTTCAGGAGGGACTGTGAAACAACAGCAGTGGAGACGCAACACTGTAGAGTGACAGGAAAGATGGAAGAGGTGGAGGCTGAACTGTAGCGCTACATACTGTATGGACAAGGGCACCGACGACAGGAACTGAACCCAGATATGTCAAGGAGCTCAGAATGTCTCGGGGTCAGACTATGGGGAAAACATTTAAAGGGTGTAATGACAGGAGGATGCCTCTGTTACAGTTTACACTGCAGTCTTATATAATGAAATAGAGGGGTTTGTGTAAATGAAGATCATATCTTTCTCTTATGGATTCAGGAAAATGATGAGGTCTGATCTTTGCTTCCTTCCTTAGGTTGTCAGAAAACATGTCCACATTGATGTTTTCAGATATCCAAAACAGAATTGTAACATGGTGTGGTTTGAAGTAGATTTGGAAACTCCACAGAGTCAGAAACAAAAGGTTACCATTTCAAGAAAGCAGGCTACGAAGAAATCAACCGGTTTATAAGGCACAAGACGTCAGATCGATCCCAATATATATGGAATGAGCAGAAACCGGATGGCAACATTATAAAACTATTCTGCTTGAACCACTAAATAGGTTTATCCCAAGAGTGAGTAAGTCGAAGTCCGGAAAGCAGTGAAGCAGTGGTCTAAATGGTTTAATAAAGCAAGTAACGAGTAAAGAGAAAGAGCACTGTTTAAGATTCTTAAAAAGGGACAGGATTCAAGCTAAAGAAAGAGAGTACAACGAAGTACATCAAGTACATGCAACAGGTGATCTAGAGCAATACTGCAAGAGGGGATAGCTTTTGCCAGATAACAGAAGTTTCCAGGTAACTTAAGATTACCATTAGCTGCTAGAGATTTGTTTTTTTGTTTTTTTCTACCAATTGTAGAAAAGGAGATAAGATACTAAATACAGGCCAATAAAAAGTCATCGTCCAACATACTTATTGCTCAAGATTGGGGTAATAACCATTGACAGAAAATTTATACTGTAGCATCCAACCATAAAAAGGGTGAGAAAACTAGCCCAAATAATTATAGACTAATAAATCTTATTTATATTGCAAGCACAGAGAAATGATAATTAGATTCGATCTTAAACCTATTACCTAGTTGGCAATAGGATTCTGTGGATTTAAAAAAAGTTGCTTAGCTGAACTTGTTCAAAGTTTTTAAACAAGAAGCAGGTGTAATGGAGTAATGGATAAAAACAGAACACAAGCATAGGACAGGGTACATTTTGATGTTCTTGATAAACCCATAAATGATTAATTCTCGCATTGCAGAAGACAAGCATTCAAGGAAACACAAATATTTGGATTGAGAACTGGTTAATGGATAGAGAACGGAGCGCAGAGAGAGGATGAATGCTCAGACTCAGAAACTGTAATCAGAATAACTGCCCTTCCTAATTCCTGTCAATGAGCTAGATTCTGGTCAAGTTGTCTAGTCATGTTCACAGATAATACCAACATGGGAGGATTAATGAACACTGCAGAAGGTACAATCAAAGACTGGGCAAACACCTGCCAGACAACTGATGTGAACAAGGATAAAGCGCAATCTGCAAAGAGCTAAAATACAAAACTATAAATATATCAGTTGGGAAATACTGAGTTTGAAGATACTGTTTATGAAACAAAACTATATTTAAATTTAAAAAATTAACTTTTCAAATCTGAACAACACAGGATGAACTGTGAAAAGCAGAAACGTTAAATCACTCAACATTAAAGCTGTATAATGCACCTGTGAGACCTTATTCAGTATACTGAACACACTTTTAGTCACCATGTTATACAGAAGATATTACTGCATTTATATCAGTCAAGAGGGGAGTGACACGACACATTCCTGGTCTCAAAGTAATGTCCGTCTTTAAAGGGCTAGAAGAAATTATTCTCAGAGAACAACGACTCAAGGATTCAAAACCCTCAAAGGTAAGGTTGGCAAAGACAACCGTATGTGATTCTTCAAAAACATCGTAACATGACTAAAAAGACACAAATTTAACCTAAGGGCATGAATATACATAAAACTGAAAACAATAGGCAAAACCGTACAAAGCAGGGCAGTGTGGGTATGGTATACGTTACCCAGCCATGCTGGTGAAGCCCGCGTCGAAGGCGTCTTTCCAAACGCAGACTAAACGAGACCTACGGTCAGTTGGTTATTAGCCCCACGTGGGCTAGATGGCTTGAGGGACTGCTTGTATGGAACCCCATGTTACGTACAAAACCCCTTTTTTTCCCCGACCCCAGAAAGCTCTCCTCCCACTGCCGGGCTTACCGTAGACGATGAGTTTCACGTCCTTGTCGGGGTCGCCCGTCGTGTCTCCCGGGGCGTCGACGGTACAGATGTAGACACCGTTGTCCCACCACATCACTTCGCTGATCACGAGGTTTGCCTCTGCAAGAGACGAGCAGGGCGTCACACCGACCGGACCGGTGCCCCGTTCCTCTTGGGGTGCACAAGAGACACGGGCTGGGTCACACCCGTGTCACCAGCTGGTCCCAGGAGCACCTTGGGACATTTCTGACACATGCTGCTCTCTACGACTTTCAGCTGGAAAGCTTGTGAACGCAGCATCTTTTTTTTCCCCCGGCTTAAAGAACAAAAAGCTATTTTTGCAACACTTATTGGACAACTAGATCAATTATTCTTAAAATAATATTAAAGTAATTCTTTAATAGGTCATTAAACTGATCTAGAGGTGCGATCTTTTCAGGTCAAATGTTTGCTACCAACAGTTCCTGTGATCAACGGTTCTGCTGACTGTTTACACAAGCTTGTGACATTTCAGGTTAGCATAAGATCCCTGCAAAACAGAACTCAGGATGTGGAGGAGTGAACTGCATTCAGTTATAGGCTCTCGTGATAGCAGAATCTAGCTAGTGTAAGACAGCACGGTTTGCAGATTCGGTTACGAAACGCTAGGGAGAATCACTGCTGTGTTTTTCAGACATTCAGTGTAGTTTAAGAAAAGTGAAATGTGTTCTACTTGTTTCAGTGGAACCGTCTGCTGTTCACCTCATAGAAGAACAAAGGCAGTTGGGTAACGGAGAAGCTCTTACGGTTTTGGATGGTGATTTTACGCTGCGTGTATTCTGATCCCAGGATCGGCTCATTAGTGCCTTTCTTTTGGATCACAATCCGAACTGTTCGTTGACTGTCCTGGCAGTCATTTGAAGGGTCTTGGCCCAGGGACAGGGCAGCTTGGTATGCTGGAGTAAAAAAAAAAACATGTTAATCAAGCATTCATGCTTGCTTTCGGAACTCAAATACAAAAACAAGGCAGGTTGGAATTAAAGCCAAAGTAATGGAACTGTCTAAGGAGAAACAAATGACTATAAGACAGTCCCCTTCATTAAAATTAAAAGCTACAGATGTAGTAGCCAAAACCCAGAATATTTTTCCTCTGATTTCATGGAAACGTTTTTCCCCACAACAGATGATTTATTGGGAATGCTCTATTATTGTGGAAATGGTGCTTCAGAAGAAGGACAAACTGAAATCAGCCATTTTATCGGAAATGTCCTGAACGTGTGCGTGAAAAAGGAAAGCGCACATCTGTATAAGCCTGTTGCCCACTTACACGTGGAGTAGTAGTCAAGGATGGGGTCTTTGCAGAAGGACTTGTAGCGCCAGGTGACCACAACGTCCTGTGGATTAGCCGATGTCGAATAGTCGCACCGCAGAATGACTGAGGCGAACAAGGTGATGGAGCGAGATGTCTCTGGGACCGTCACTTGCAGAGAAGAGACCCCTGAAAACCACAAATCACAAATCACTGATGGCGACAGGAATCAATGCCCACAACTTCCTGTCTGAGGCGCGACATCTCCCCATGGTCTCTGCAGGTACTCCCCTGCCTTCACACTACAGAGAACAGCAATGCAATTGTCCTTCACAGCACATCACAGGAGATTCTGTGAAATGAAGAATCGACCTGAATTGAAATATATGTCAGAGCGGGCGTTCGGGGCAGGTGAGCAAATTTTCACAAGTTCCAAAAAATACAACAGAATACCAAGTTTGTCCTTGGACTACAAACTGAAATAAGTGTAAAAAAGCGTTATGTTTGGTATTGCAAATGTGTTGGAAGAATAATTCTGTACACTGGTGTTAGACAGACAGAAATATTATTGTTCTTTTGTTTAATGTTCAAGTATCACTGAAAATGTGTAAAGTATGATACTTTGAGAAAAGCGGTGTTTATGGTTGACATGCATCTGATCTGTTTGAAGCCTCTGAAAATTATTAATACATGAGACATCCCATGCAGGTTTCTACTGCTTAGAATGGACTTCTGGAATGGTGCACATGACCTAATGGAACGGATTCCAGTGGACACAATTAAAAAGCTGATCATATGAGTTATTACTCATTCTTGTCTCAATAACAGGTGACAGAGATCACGACACTACACTTTGCACTGTCCTGTGCTTTCACAGCCTGCCTTACTCCTACACAAAAATAAAATCAGAAGTCTTAAAAAGATAACTATTTGAGATAAAGTAACTGGAATTTTAGTACGTCTTCATTCTTCACAGAAATATGGGAAGTGCAAGAAAAATTATTTTGGGAGGGAGATATTACACATCCTATTTCCCTGCAGTGATGATTGCATTTGTACTTATAGTTTTGTGAACTAACCTAAAAATGACAAATTACGTACTATTTAGATAAGATAAGATATGATCACTTTATTGGCCATATACAATTTCTTGCATTAGGAATTTGTCTTTTCGCATACCCCAGCTTGCTCTCCAGGAGACACACAGACAGGGAGAGAAGCTTGGGGTCAGAGTGCAGGGTCAGCCATTTATATGGCACCCTTGGAGCAGTTGGGGTGAAGGGCCTTGCTCAGGGGCTCAGGGGAGATTCCTCTGCCGGCCACAGGATACGAACTCGCAGGGCAGTTAGAGGTGCTGTAGACTGTGCCTGATTTCTGAAGTGTGCCAGAACAGGCTTTAACACCAAGTTCTACTGCTGTGTCAGTGTGCAGTGTCCGCCCTATTTTAGATAAGTCACCATCTACTCTTTTAGGAACATGATATTTCCAGATAAAGCTTTCGTGTCTAAATACTCGTAGGATTATAACAATCACACTTCCTGTCCTGGATTGACAATACCTGACCATAAAGTAAAACCTCAGGTTTCATGTGTATCTCAGTCAGGGGAATACTCCATCTTGAGACATTTCCCTTTGCAAACCATCTGTTTTTTCAAAGCCATCGACTTGAAGAACCTGCTTAACCTCAGCCCCACTTCCCCGGAGCTGAGGACTGGATGAACTTGAAATTCAGGTAATGGCACAACACAAAAACAAACCTAAGATCATATTTACACTGTAGATTAGTTTCATTTTGTACACAGATGAAGAACCTCAATGGTCACCTAACCTCCTGATCACAGAATCCTGTTTCAGAGAAGCAGGTCTCTTTATGACTCTAGGAAACAGCCATCTGCTATCCTGAATGGGAATACCTTGCTGTAAAAAAACAAAGCTCTTTATTTATACACTATATAGGCCTATATACATATATACCGAGCCTTGGCTTAAAACGTGTCACGGTTGGGAAACAACACAAGACTATTCTTGGAAAATAGTTGAGTCTGGCAAAACTAAAGGGACTCAAGTTTTTATTAAGCACCGTATCTTGAACAAATAGTTGAAGCCAATTCACAGACATGGATTATTAGGAGGCCATGATTGGTGAAGACCAGGGGGAAATTTGGCCAGGGTAACACCCCTACTCTTTTTGAGAAACGTCCTGGGATTTTAAATGACCATGGGAAGTCAGAACCTCGGTTTTACATCTCATCCGGATGGCAGCTTTCTACAGTATAGTGTCTCTATCACTATACTGGGGCATTAGGACCCACACAGACTGCAAGGTGAGCGCCCCCTGCTGGCCCACTAACACCTCTTCCAGCAGCAACCTTACTTTTTCCCAGGAGTCTCATATCCAGGTACTGGCCAGACTCACACCTGCTGAGCTTCAGTGGGCTGCCAGTTGTGAATTAAAGGGCGATATGGCTGCTGTCTTGTTTGGATTTGCATTTTTTCTTGTATGCAGATCAAGAATTGTTGGACTTTCCAAGTTAACCTCGTAAATTCACCCGATAATTGAAATGCGTTATTTGAAACTGCGGTTGGACAATTATTATTATAAGTAATAAGATTGATGGAAAATGAAGACATAGTTATTAACCAAAGCTAGCAGCTCGATTAGGAGTTAACGACTTCAGCGAGTTTATCGGAAATGGAAAGTGAGAAAGCATTTATCGGAAACACAAAGAACAAACTCCACGTTGTGTCCTAACGCTGCCCATCACGCTTTGTGTCTCAGTAAATGTTAATTACTTTAACTTTTAAGTACGAGATACAAAAAAGAGACAAGTGTGTAAGACAATATGATAAAAAACGCGTTTTTATCCCACATGAAATAAAGCACCAAACGAATTTGAAAACACAGCCTTCAACGTCGTTTGCCGTCATAGGACAAACCGTGTGATTTTACTTTCGGCTTCAGAAAAAAAAGTGAGCATCAGTTATCTGTTTAAATATCACAGTGTGCTTTTGGAAAAAAAACTCCATGCAATGTACCCCTGTTAATGTACCTCACTGGGATACTATGGGAAAGAGTGACGATAAAGGAAAACCACCTTAATTCAGTCACAATTCACAAGCAGCACAAAATGAGATTTGTGAGACTGAGATGTCAAACACTGAACAGCACGAAGAGACGAACTGTCCTGACACCTTGTAGCCTGGCCACCTTACATCTCGAGTGTAATAATAAAGGAAAACTACTCAGCTGGCTTTGTCAAATTGGGCATATTTACATTCATAGCTGAAGACTATTACTGAAACGGCAAGGCAGACAAAATGATCTACTCCTATTGTAGCAGTAGCAGTATTGTAGCACTATTTACTGTTTTTAATGTTCCTTTAGTAACATTGTTTGAAAAACTGAATGTAGCTAGGTAGCCATAACGTGCACTCTAAAAACAAGTTGTAAAATGTTTAATTTCATTCCACCTCGGTAAATTCCATCTCCCCTAAATACTTTTCTGAAAAATCTTCTGAAAAACAGATGCATTAACCATGATCAATGGCTGGATGGTGTATAAACACAACCATACCATACATGCATAAAAAAACTTTAAAAAATCGATTTATACGAAACTGTCCTTCTTTTCCAAAGAGCAGAACATTAATGAACAGGCTTAGAAATTCAAGGAAAACTCGGGACTATCGGGAATTGCAAATGGATGTCGTTGGTTGGCTTGTTTTACCGAGTGAACGAGAGAGAAATGCAATGAGTTTCTCTACTCGCTGAAGCTCCGTGGTGTTTACCTGGCTCTCCATGGCTGATATAATGCTAGAGAGTTAAAGGGTGACTGCGGTTGCGAGGAACTCAAAAGTAATTTTCACCTCTGTGCTTTGTTAAGCACACGATTGCACGAGTCTTTATTTCATATTTCATTGCACTGCAGGTAAGGGATATCGGACAGGTGAGCCGCGATGCGCCCTGCCCCCACCCCGCCGGCTGTGCCGGGGTTTCGGCCTGCTGGAGCTCCGCTTGTTGAGGTCATAGTTTCACCTGTCGACGGGCAAGTGCGCAGGCGCCACCCCGCAACTCGGGACGTTTATTCACAGCTTTCCTGGAATTACTCGCCCCGGCACATACGACGTTTTGAAAATGGATCACGGTTTCGCGATATAATATTCACCTGTATTCACATCAGGTCAAACCCGGCGGATGAAACGGTTTTTACCTGTTGAGAGTAGCCCAAGCAGAAACGCGGTCAGTATCGGTGTCCTCATTGTGTTGGTAAATCCCATAAGGAAGTTCTGCTAATCCGACCCTACTTTTGTAATGTTTACATGTCCGTGAAATCTCCGTTAACGTAATTCACTTGTTGTAATGTTATTATTCTGGTTTCCAGCACATAGACTGAATAAAATCTCCCCTTTGTGGACCGGCCTTTTTTTTTATCATGAGAAAGTCGTCTCTGAGCTTTTTCCCAGGACAGCCCAGTCAGAGCGACCCCTCCCCCAGCCGCCCTAAGACAGCAACGCATCACTGACCCCACCCAGAAACAGGTGCATCACATGACCCTCCCAGCAGGCTTTCGCTTTAGGCTTCAGCATTCACGCAACCTTGTTTTTTTTGTAATTGTACGGCTTTTCATCTCCTGAAGTTAAGCAGTCTGACTAGTCTGCCTTTTAAAACGTTACTTTGACACGGTTAGCCCAGTGACTAAAGGAACAGGTGAAGGTTTATTCCGTGCTGAAAAGAAAAGAGATACAACGTTTCGGCTGTGGAGCCTTCTTCAGGTGTTAAATACGCTCTTCTTTTCCTTTCGGCACGGAATGACCTAATAAGGTATCTTGGACTACCTTCTGTCTGGCTGACAGTAATCTGAAGCGTCGTACATTTACACCCATTTGGGATATCTAATTTTTTTCAACAATTAAAGCGAAATACCTTGGAAAGGAGCACAACAGAAGTATTCAGTTGGGATTAGAACCTACAACCTTCTAGCTACAAGCGTAGAACCCTCATCACAGCTCCACTACTTTCGTTGTACATGATGTTTATACAATAATGTATCAGAAATACCACCCCCTTCTGTTATACTATACCATTTCACACCAATGCTGTAAAAGCTCATACATTTTCTAACCGCTTCATCCAATTCAGGGTTACAGTTGAGCAAGAGGCTATCCCAGCAAGCAACAGGCAGAAGGCAGGATACACCCTGGACTGGATGCCAGTCCTTCGCAGGTCAGCCGCACACTCCCACCAGTGCAGATTTTCCTTAAATCCAATTCATCCGGGTGGATGTTGCACATTGGTGGTGGTGGAGGGGAGTCCCCATTACCTGTAAAGCGCTTTGAGTGGAGTGTCCAGAAAAGCGCTATATAAGTGTAAGCAATTATTATTATTATCTACCAGTATGTCTGTGGACTGTGGAGTTAAACTGGAGCACCAGGAGGAAACCCGTGTAAACACAAGGCAAACATACAAACTCCACACAGACAGCACCCCAGTAGTTGAACACAGGGCACCACTACTGCCAGGCAGCAATGTTAACAGCAATGTTATGTTTGTGCCAATTTGCCATCGTTGGCAGGAAATGATCAGCTTTAAAATTTACAACAAAACGCTGAAAAGCCGCAAAACCCTGCTTGTGGTGCAAATATCCACTTGATGGCGCCATTTCCCAGTACTGCGATAACAAAGTGCTCCTGTGTAATGCTGCATATACACTTAAGACTGTTTCGTCTGCTTTGAAGTATCTGCCAACTGAGCAGATAACTGAACATCTGAGCAGAAGGGATGTTCAAAATCTTGCTGAAGCAATGCAATCCTCTGCAGATATCCAAGTCAATTTATAAGGTGTTTTCCTGCATTAACTCTAAACCCTTTTCAAATTTGTGATCGTTCCCACTTTTACCAGATGAAATCTTTAGTTGGCAAAGAGTCGTTGTTTATTTTTTTTTACACCGGCTGCCAATCAGCTCCCGGTCCACAGCCTCCAACAGGACAAAGTGCAGGGGCCCTGGGTAAATTAGCATTTTAATTAAAAGCTTCACACTGCAGCGGGAAAAGAGACGTGGGAGTGTCCCGGTCCCGTCTGCAGCAGCTCCAGGGGGTGGCCAGAGCCCAGAGATAAAGCCAGGGTCATTCAATACTGCGGATCGTCACAAAACAGGCAGCTTCATTCACAAAGACTGAGAGGCCTGCAGTAGTCCCGCTGACAAGCTTCATGGCAGATTGTGCTGGGTTTCATCAACTTTTACCCAGGAAATAAATGGTCAGTTCTGTTTGGAAATACATGTACAGGACTCCACAACAGCCAATAAAGATCGCTTTATCCATCAGTTTTATTTTTTCGCATACAAAAATACAGTATTTAGTTGTGAAAGGAACTTTAAAATAGTTTCACTCATGTGACCTGAATTTATGATTGCATTGTTGGAATTTTAATTTTATTGAAAAATCTGTCTTTGGTCTTGTACTAACTTCATAAGCTCTCGATATACATAGTTTAAAAGGAATTCCAAATGAAGATGGTTGTAAGAAATGAAGTGAGACTGACTTTATGTTGTGTTATTTCTAAATTCCATTAAAAAAATTAAAGGTTTTGTCCACCAGTAGGAATACTGGTTTTGTCCACCAGTAGGCTGTCATAAAACTGAATACCTTGTTTAAAGCTGAGGTATCAGCATCATCACTTTTTAAAATTGTTTCCCATGGTTTTAGTCATAGAAAATGAGTTTTTATAACACCTGTCGACATGGTTACACAGATGGACTTAATGTAATTCTCACCACTTTTTAGAGTACTGTATACAATTCACAAAGCAATGTAAGATTAAATCATGTGACATTCGTCCCCGTGTCTTTAACACGTTACTGCGGTGGCTCTGTGGCTAAGGATCTGCGCCTGTGCGCCTGTGGCTGGAAGGTTGCTGGTTCGTATCCCGCGGCCGGCAGAGGAATCCTACTCCGTTGGGCCCCTGAGCAAGGCCCTTAACCCCAACTGCTCCAGGGGTGCTGTATAAATGGCTGACCCTGCGCTCTGACCCCAAGCTTCTCTCCCTGTCTGTGTGTCTCATGAAAAGGAAGTTGGGGTCTGCGAAAAGACAAATTCCTAATACAAGACATTGAATATGGCCAATAAAGTGATCTTATCTTATATATGCCTTCTCCTTAATACAATACACAGCACTGAGAGTGACCTGGGGTATCCACTGCGCAATGTTGAGGTCTTGGCTTGAGGCTTACTTGGTCTCTCCGAGAGATTATCCTGCAAAAAGCAGCAGACTATAAACCATGAATGTGGGTGGATCAGTATTTCCTTCTGTCAAACGAGGAGGCTGGGTGATTTGTAGGCGAGATGCAATGTAAGATGACTCGCAAGCACCTGTGAATCTTAATCAGACAGCTTCCTGTTATTGTACTTTCAGCTAGCGTGTTTGCCTTACATTCTTGTAGTCTACAAGCTTGCTGTGGGGTGTATTTGTTTTGGAACTTCCTTTGGAAGTAACAGTCATAATCCACATTCTAGAACACTGCACACCTCATCTATATTTACTCTCTGCCAAAACCCACATTTGGTGAAATTTAGCCTATGTCTAAAATCCAAAAGGGAAATGTATCCCTCTTATGACAGCATGTCACAGAAAATCAGAGCTAGCACTGACATTTTCAAGAACGTTTTCCTTCCTTTTACATAATTGCAAGAGGAAGTCACTTTTCCTGAAAAAGAACACATGGGAAATTAAAGAAGCAAGCCATATTCATGTACCGTCATCTTTTCTGTCTGGTTATGATGTGAGTTTGCAAACATGGACTCCACATCTTTGAATATTTAACCTTTATAGGTAACAAGAATGTATGAACATGAATACTTTATCCCTTAATAAATGTTTCTTTTGTAGAATTGTAGCTACATTCCTTTCTCCATCATTCATGATAAAGCCTCTATACTACTGCAAATATTATGGAAATATTTATATTGGGCATATGAAAATATTGCCAAAAAGCATCCTACCAAATTTTGATCATAAGCTTCTTGTCTTCACCGAAGACCCACTTTAGAGTTTATTCTGCAGCTCATAAAGTGCGCCTGAAATTACAGATTGCTAATAATTAATAACAAATGTCTCAGCGTAGCCCTGGACAAGAAATACTAGAAGCCACATTGGGAATTTTATAGAAAGATGCAAAACAGCATGCTTCACAAGGCAAATTTTAATCTGAAAATACACATCACAGGAATAGTGAAACATTTCAATATAAAACATGACAGGGCAGGTTTTGATAAAGCATTGTGCAAAAAAAGTGATATCCTGGATAGGCACTTAGCTCAGAGTAAACCTTGCTTATCTTTAAACATTTCTAGCTGACCTGGAACACTGCAAAAAATTAAGACATGTACTGTCCCCAAACAATTCCCCAAAGTATTTTGTAAATACTTATAAAAATATTTCCAAAAAACATCATACAAAACTTTCAGTTTCTGTGGATACAATGTAAACAAAAAAGGAGTAAAAGCAGAGCAAATGAATGAGGAGACAATAGCACTGCTATGCTGTTGATACACCAATATGTACTGACCCCCAAAAACAAACTGTATCGAAAGGCAAAAGTGTGTGTCTCTGAGATACAAGGTGTACAATATATAAATCAACAAAGGATGAAGCACTCCTGAGAGTCTGCATCATTCAAGCGCTGTAGGTTGGTCTTGAACGGCACAAAGCAGGTGTAAAGGCAGGTCAGCATCTTGCCTTGCGATCTGCATTGATAATTATAATTGTTTACACTTATGTAGCGCTTTTCTGGACACTCCACTCAAAGCGCTTTACAGGTAATGGGGATCCCCTCCACCACCACCAGTGTGCAGCCCCACCTGGATGATGCGACGGCAGCCATAGTGCGCCAGAACGCTCACCACACATCAGCTATCAGTGGGGAGGAGAGCAGAGTGATGAAGCCAGTTCATAGAGGGGGATTATTAGGAGGCCATAATTGGTAAGGACCAATGGGAAATTTGGCCAGGACGCCGGGGTTACATCCCTACTCTTTTCGAGAAACACCCTGGGAATTTTAATGACCACAGAGAGTCAGGACCTCGGTTTTACGTCTCATCCGAAGGACGGCACCTTAATAGCTGCAAAGCATGAGGTCCTCCTAAACCCATCAGGTTCCAGCTTAAAGTGTCCCCAATCTCGGAGTCCACCCACACTCATTTAACTGTGGGACAGCTGTGTGTGGGATACAGACTTTCCTATTCTGAATTTAGGGGTCCTCAATGTATCTCACATACTAAGGATTCAGATACTTTCAATAAATATGCTGGCTCTTGCCTACACATGTCCGGCTGAAATAATTTGTGGCAAATCACACCTGACCACTTTAGTCACCAGTTTTCATATGGAAATGAGCTTGGATCCCAAAAACCACCTGGAAGAAATGTTTACACATTTACCCTACCTGTCATGCAGTTTCTTTTTGGGTCAGTTAATTTGTTGGGAGTGACAGTATGTATTG